TGCTGAATATCAGCAAAGTTTGTTCAACGGCCTACAGTGAGAGTCAGCAGTTCCTGACTCAGCTCATTAGTGCAGAGCTCAGGAAGGAGGGCAAACCCATCACTTCCTAATCCAGATGACCACTGCTAGAGCCAGGCTGCATTCTGGAGGAACTCTAGGAGAAAAGCATATTTTCTGGCTCCCTGACTTTTTTTCCCCCCTCCTCAAAACAAAACAGCAGTGTTATGACACAGTCAGGTGCAACTTGAGCTGCTAACTCAAGCACTATTTTTAATAAAATGTGCGTTGATATCTATTTGAAATTAGCAAAAAAATACTACTAAAAAAAATACTTTTTCCTGTAATCTCAGCCTTAGGCTTTTGGAGATTTTGTAGATAATTAGGAGTTCACATCACCTCCTTCTCCTTGTTCAGGACACTATATAAGCCAGCGGAGCTCAAACTGTCAATATTTCAAAGCAAGCAAGTTTTCCCCAATGTGATAAAGGTATACTTTTTTCTACGTCATATCAAGATCTAGAACCTCACTGTCTTAGGCATTTGTCCTCCTCTTTCAGGGTATCAGAGCTTCAAAGACAAAAAGAAAAATACCAACATGTATAACACTCCTAAATTCTCATGAGTCTTTGGCATGAGCTTTATATTTCAAGGTTACTGAAATGTCTTTGAAACAAGTGGTTTTCCCTGCTGAGATTTAACAATAATAAATAAATATATAAGGATTATGCAAGTGGAATCGAAAAGTTTCAGGCAAGCTCTCATAATACAAGGAGAAATTGAAAAATTCTATTCCACAATGGACAGAACAGTTAGCTATTATGAAAATTATATTAACATATAATTTGTTTCTGTCTGAAAGTCTGTTGCATTGAATATTCCCTATGCCCAACGTCCCTAATTGTGAAAGTTCACCACAACCATCTTTAAAATATGTCGTATCTGAAAAGAATTTACTTGAACAATTTTGTTTATAAGCAAATATTTTAGTTTTACTATGTATCATCAAAACCCCTTTTGAATAACTACATGAAAGCAAAATAACTGTAATAGGATTACTGATAGGCATTGAAAATTTGGAAAGCACAAACTTAATTCAACAGGTTAAAAGAAAACATACTGGAATAAAAAAATTTTGGTTTTAAATGGACAATTTGGGCCATACCTAAAAAAATAAAAGCAGATTTTTTTTGTTCTCTATGTTGTTGAAGGGAGAGACTCATAGACTGTCTTTGTTTGATAGAAAAGAACTATTAGACAATAGTAGGAAGTCATAGCCCAATGAAAGCAAACTCCAAATAAGCTATACAGGAAAGTGATTCCTTTCTCACTGGAGTAACCTCTTTTAGAGCAAGAGTAGCTTTCTTTGGTTTAGTATAAACTTCAAAGTGGCAAACTCAATTAAAGTTACTTGTGTTCCAGAATACAGTCCCAGCAGAGAGTTATAGGTGTATCTGCTTAAATTCACAATTTTGTGACTTTTATTCTTGTCTTGCTCCAAGATGTTTTTTCTGAACAAACATTTCCAAGATGTGGACTCATCGTGATCAGGGTATGTGGAATGCTTGCTTATACTGAAGGTATAGAAAGACTGTACCCCAACATTTGCCAACAAGTTTAAATCTAGCTATCTGTCTCTACTGATAAATATGTATCATTTAATAAATATCAGAGTTATTACAAGCTCCTTTATCATTAATAGCTTTCCAAGAATTTCTGAGATCAGTCTTTTTTAACCCCATCTATTTCCAGAAAAGCATGACAAAAAGTTGTCATATAGGTTCTACTCCCTTTTAACACAAGTAAAATATGGAGAACAGAAGCAGCATTATATGACAGCTTAACTCTCTTTAGAGGTGAATCAAAAGATACTCAACATGCCACAGGTTAACTTGTTATTAATACTTGGAAATAATTTAAAAATCAGAAGTTTGTTTGGTTTTTGAAATGGTAGAAGCTGGTTTCAGACAGGTCTGTTTTTCAAACCCATTTCATAGGAAAAAGGAATTAAAATTAAGACTGAAACACTTTGCTTCCTCATTTTTTGAGCATGGTTCTAAATGAGTAACAACAAGGCTGAATGTTTATGATTCCTTAATACGTATTCATTATAAATATGTTCAGTCAATTAGCACATTATTTCACAGACTGCAGTTGCAGGGTTGGCAAAACGAAGATTGCATTTGGTTCCCTGGCAAAAATACCATTTTCACACACTGTCAGCTTGTTGGTTCTATAAAAGCAATCAAGCCGGGTTCTCCTTTGTACACATGACATCAGTCTGTGCAAAGCTTATCGACTGATACTACTAAATGAGGTTTCCCACATGCAAAGAAAGAGAAATCCAGTTCATTCTTCCAACTGACATCAACCCTACACTTCTAACAAGTAAAAATCAAATATTCAGATTTTAGTCATTTAAAAAAGAAAAAAACCACAAAACTTTTAAGATTAAGCAGCTCAGTGACAGAACTCCATGCTATTTATTTCAAACACCCACAAAACATGGCATTATGTGATGCCTGCACAGCTCTAGCAGAGTGGTACCTCATATTTTCCTAACAAAGAATATGAATTCCTAATAGCTGTCTTTGGGCACGCCGTATCACCTTGCAGAAGTAGATGCATAAACTTTGGTTAAAGAGAGGCCAAATACAATCTCTAACCTTCAACTATCTCTTTCCTTTCAGGCACCCATACTATATAGTGAGATAGAGCCACAAAGCGTCACACTGTGACAGCAGACAACTAGTGATTGTTGACAGTGCGAAGACAAGAGTTCAGCCCCTGCATAAAGCTTCAAAATGAGAGTTCTCCCAGATGACCTATATCTGACTTAAAATAGGCAGGTCTTACAATAAGAATTTGTAAACATTAACAACTTAAGAGTAGACTTATTGCCTAACTTCTTAACCATTACACACAGAGCCCTCAAAACCCTACACTGAACGTTTGCTGCCTGGGAAAGCCTTCTCCCTCATTTATTACTAAATTGGTGCAGTGATTTAGAGAGCTGAGTACGTGTTGTGCTTTCTTTGGAGTTCTTACTGTCGCCCATACCGCTAACTGCAAGTGCATACGCATATGCCACAGTTTGCGTAAACCAGATGAACAGTGTTATTTTAACATAATCTATTCACCCAAGGTACAACAGGCAGATGTTAAGATTTTCAGCACCTTCATTCAGCAAAAGATCAGAGATTTTCAATTCCTGCTAGTTATTATCAGCGCGCTAACGGTTGTAAAACCATCTGAAAGCATATGTACTCCTCAAAACAGAAATTATCACTTCCAGTTTGCAGGTAATGAAACTGAAAGACAGCGTTAAAGAAAAGGCTAAAGCTACAGACTCACTCAAGCTACAAAGTGACTCAAAGCAAAGAAGGATCAGCAAAAAGCTCTTTAGTTCCTGGCTCTTCACCAAATTCTCAGCCAGTAAAAACCAAATGCATGTAAAAATATCAGATGCCTATCCAAACTTTGTGCAAATCACTCAACCTACAAGAAATAAATTGAAACAAACCTCACAAGAACAAAATGCAGATTGTTAACGCAGACTTCTAATGCATACTGAGCTAACCATCCACAGAGTCAGCAGAACTTCTATTCAGAAGACAGAACTATTAGAACAGTTCTTGTTACCTGAGCCCTTGCTTGGATCATAGAAAAATTAAAAGGGGGTGGAAGGCACGAATTTCACACTTTCCCAAACAAACTCAGCCACTTCCCCTCCCAAAAGAAATCACGTCCGTCACTTCGTTATACCCCGTGGCTGGAAAACACGCGGGGAAGGACAAGGAGGCGAGCATTACCTGCCAGCGGCCGTAGCTGAGTAGCAGGAGCGCCAGCGGGATGGCCGTGCCCGACATGGCGTGGGTGGAGGGCATGCTGTACTCCGAGTTGTAGAAGACTTCCAGCTTCACCACGGGCGGGGCGGCAGGCCGCGGCCAGCGGATGACATCCTTGGTGCACTGCCCCAGGTACATCACCCACACCCAGATGATGATAAGCCTCCGGCCCAGCCAGGCGTCCAAGTTCCAGATGCAGAAGGGGAAGAAGAGGATGTAGAAGAGCTCGTTGCCCAGCTCCGTGCCCAGGCTGAAGAGATAGTAGAGGAAGCGGCTGCGGGTGGAGAACTCCTGGCTGCCGTCCTCCTCCGTGAGGGAGTTGCGCCGCGGCCTCCTCCTCCACCGCT